CCTAAAACTTTATCCGTCATTCCCATCCCATACTCGCACAGATCCTATCAGCCAACGCCCTCTTGAAGAACTGTTCGCGCGCCAAGAAGCGAGTCTGTTTGAGGTACTTGTCCAAGTCCAACTGTTCCGTTCCCGCTCCCAATGCTCTACCCAGATGATACAGCGTGTCTTCTATCGCATTATCGTCCGCTGTCAAATTGAGCAGTCTAATCATGCGGAGGCAAGGCGTGCGCGCGGGGAAGGAGGGGATTTTGGTGCCAGTGTTAGAAGGCGAAGCGAAGCGGAATGGCAGATTCGGGAGACGGGAGATGATGAAAGATGCCCACGCGATGCACTTTTTCTTCGATATCGTCTCTGCCTTGGTCAACAGACGCATCGGCAGCTCCTACTGACACCTAGCACCGCCCTCCAATCGTTGCCAACGGCCAACTCGACTCACTGATTGCCCACAATACTAGTAGCGCAAACGATCTCCTCCTCATGCACCGCAGGTCGTTTCTCCATCTCCAGTGTCCTAGCAACCGTTCTATCCCTACTCTCCTGCAATCCGTTCAAAGTGCTCCTGACCACATCCCTAACCGCTCTCAACCTCTCCATCTCGTCGTGAATGGCCGGAGCGCCCCTTTGGAGATCCGCAAGGAGCATTTCCAATTGGGCTTTGCGCTGCAAAGAGTTGTTGAGCTCGGTGGTGATGTGCAAGGAGAGCTTGGAGTGCAGCGCTTGACGTAGGGAGAGCAGCTCGGGATTGGGGGGTAGGGGAGGCGCGACTCCACTTGCGCCTGCAGCGACGGACGAACCGGCATCGGGCTGCTTCAAGGCGTCGCCTCCTCCTGCGCTCGGAGTGCCATACTGATGAGGTGCGTGAGGCGGCAAAGGCGGAGGTGCACTGCTACCTGTGCTATCCGCTCTTCCCTGCTGCGCTTGCGAATATGCATGGTGTGCTTGTGACTGTTGTCCAGCATCATATGGCCCGATCCTCGCATCCTCCGCTGCCCTCTGAGCGGGGTGGTGGTACGAAGGCGAAAAATGCGCATGCGAAGCAATTATCTCTCTCCCGCTCGACGCTCTCCTCCCTTCCGCGTGCTGTGCTGGACCAGTTGAGCTTCGATGAGGCGCACCTGTCGAGGAGCTGTGCTCGTACGGGCGTGGGTGCGCTCGCGGGGACGAGTATGGATGGGCAGGACTAAAAGACGGAGGAGCAGCGTCGCTGGCGTGAAAAGAAGCAGGTCTATTCGTGCTCAAAGGCAACGTCACGTTTGGTCGAGCAGCGAGCTGAGTTTGTGGTGCGTACGAAGCAGACCATCTGTGCGATTGATTCGTACCCATAGCGGATACGAATGAGGCAGGGTCCCTCGATGCGTATCCCGAGTCAGCATCGGGTTTGGGAGGTCTGGCAGGTGCTCGGCTTTCTTCTCGCGAGCCAGAGGCAGATGAAGATGCGGCAATTGTCGTGGCAGGAGATGCGTAGGGAGCAGGAGAAGATCGGAAAAATTCGGACGTGGATGGAGAACCTCGACTGGAAGAAGCTACTCCGGTCTCTAATCCTGTCCCTGTCCCGGTCCCGGTCCCGCTCCGACTCGCTTGATGCGCCTCTGATGCGGGTCGAGCATACACGGGCGGCATTTGTCCAAATTGTTGTTGCAGGGATTGTACCATGTTGACCAAATTGCAGGCCTTTGGGGGAGAGTGGGAGCAGTGATTGGGTGAGCCAGCGTGGGCCAAGTCCACCCGCATACATTCACCCAGGTCCGCACACGCGTTCAACGAAACAGTCACCTGGTCGTCTCGCGCGCGCGCGTGCTCTCTCTCTCTCTTTCTCGCTTGCTCTCTCAACTCACCTCCCACTTCTTCTCCCACATGCTCAGCCACTCGCCCGAAGTCTTCCCGCTCAGATCCACATGTTCGCCCTTTCTGACGAGCATATCCCTCGTCGGCGTTACAAAGACCAAAGGAGCTTCCCTAGGATAAGCTCTTGGAATCCAAATGATGAGGGGAATGTGATACGTCTGACCTTTGAACAGGATAGGAATTGTGCCTTTTAGATTGAGCAAGAGAGAAGCTTGACCTACGTCTGAAATGTATTCGGATGTGCTTGGACGCAAGGAGGGTTGATTGAGCAGCAGCGCATCTACGTCGGTATAGATTCGAGAGGCGTTGGGATACTGTTTGGCCAATGGGTCAGCCAACTGGCTCAGACGAGTTTGTTTTCCGTGATGTCATGCCACGCCACGCCACGCAACATGCTACCCAAATACACTCACCAAGCTGCTCACTTGCCTCAACCACCTGCGGACCACATCCTGATCCATCCTGCGCGATGGTGTCCTGCCCAAAGTCTGATTGCGATCGTGCAAGCTGATGCTAGCCAGGGGCGGGTGCTCTAGGATGATGTGGACGAGAATCGACTATAGTCGTGTGGAGATGATGGAAATGAGTGTTTGGGGGGGAAGGGGTGGAGCGGCTGGCTGGCTGCCTTGCCTGCTGGCAACGAGTACCAACCAGCATGCGCATCCAATCACAATCGTCAATCAAATATGCAGGTCCCTAGAATCTAGAATGGGTGGTGGTGTGTGTGGGGCACGTGATTGGAGATAGGCGCACACGTCTCACTCAGACTAGCATTCAAATTCTTGATTCTAATTCAGATTCGTGATTAGTCGTGATTCAAGTC